AGGCTTGACGGCAGGAAGAAATTGCCCCTTGAATGCCAGGATGGCAGAGGTTGCTGAGTGAGCCGAAGATTGTGCCCACCTGCCACTCCAGCCCTGGGTGGACAGTGAGATCTCCGTTTAAATAAAATAAAATAAAAAAGGGCCGGGTTGCAGTGGGCTCAGTGCCCTATAATTCCAAGCCCACTTTGGGAGGCCAGGCGGGTACGATCACGAGGTCAGGAGATTGAAGGACCATCCCTGGCCTAACACGGTGAAACCCCGCTCTCTACTAAAAATACAAAGAAAATTAGTGGCTGGGCGGTTGGCGGGTGGCCTTTTGTCCCAGCTACCTTTGGTGAAGGCTGAGGCAGAGAATCACTTGACCGGGAGTAGGAAGCCTGGCAGTGAGGCCGAGGATTGGCCACTGCAGCTCCAGCCTGGGCAGCAACAGAGCGCGACTGCCATCAAGAAAGAACAGAAAGGAAGGAAGAAAGAGAAAGAAAGGAAGAACATAAGGAAGGAAGGAAGAATGGAGAAAAAAGAGAGTGAGCTAAGATAGAAACTAATATAGAGGAGAGTGTTTGGTTAGTTTGTTTTTTTTTGTTTTTTGAAGATGGACCCTTGCCTCTTGTCGCCTTGGTGGGATTCTGCTCACCTTCCCGGTAGCTGGGATTTAAGGCGCTGCACCACCAGGGCCAGCTAATTTTTGTAGTTCTTAGTAGGAACGGGATTTCACCATGATGGCCCAGGCTGTCCTCGACTACTCCTGACTTCAGGGATCCTCCTGCTTCGGCCTCCCAAAGTGCCTGGGATTACAGCGTGAGCCACCGCAGGCCCGGCCTTCACTTCCCTTCTTACCTAGCTTAAATGTCTTTTAAATTTTTTTTAGTGGGGTCTTGCTCTGTCATCCAGGTTGGAGTGCAGTGGTGTGATCACAGCTCACTGCAGCCTCAACCTCCCAGATTCACTCTAAACTGGGCTAGGCAGACCTGGCAAGGCAGTATGTGGAGGGAGTGGAGGGATGTGGAGGGAGTGGAACACAACATTGAGAGACTCAGTCAACAGGACCCAGGCCCGGCGCAGTGGCTCACGCCTGTAATCCCCGCACTTTGGGAGGCTGAGGTGGGTGGATCAACTGAGGTCAGGAGTTTGAGACCAGCCTGGAGAACATGGTGAAATGCCATCTCTGCTAAAAATACAAAAACTAACCAGGCATGGTGGCAGACACCTGTAGTCCCAGCTACTCCAAGGCTGAGGCAGGAGAAACAATTGAACCTGGGATGGGGAGGTTGCAGTGAGCCAAGATCACGCCACCACACTACAGCCTTGGGCAACAGAGGGAGACTCTGTCTCCAAAAAAAAAAAGATGACCTAGAGGAGACTGACTAAAATTTTCATCCATCTTACCCTCTTTCTACTGTGTCCCTTCTCTCCCTCCCCAACATCTTCCCTTCCTTTTTTTTTTTTTTGCAACAGAGTCTTGCTTTGTCACCCAGGCTGGAGTGCAATAGTGTGATCTCAGCTCACTGCAACCTCTGCACCCCAGGTTCAAGTGATTCTCCCATTGTTCAGCCTCCCGAGAGCTGGGACTACAGAAGCCTGCCACCATGCTGGCTAATTTTGTATTTTTAGTAGAGACAGGTTTTCCCCATGTTGGTCAGGCTGGTCTTGAACTCCTGACCTTAAGTGATCCGCCTGCCTTGGCCTCCCAAAGTGCTGGGATTACAGGCATGAGCCACAGCTCCCAGCCTCCTTATTTTCCTCCCTCCCTCCCTCCTTCTTTCCCTCCCTCCCTCCCTTCTTTCCTTCCTTCATTTCCTTCCTTCCTTTTCTTCTTTTATTGAGGGTAAGGGTCTGCTGTTATCGCCCAGATGGGTATGCAGTCATAGGATCATAGCTCATCGCCACCCTCCATCCTCCTACCTCAGCCTCCCCGAGTAGCTGGGACTACAGGTGTGTGCCACCACGCCACAGCTGATTTAAAAAAAAAAATTAGGAGATAGTCGTCTTCTGTGTTGCCCACACTGGGTCTCGAACTCCTGGCCTCAAAATGGACCCTTCTGCCTCAGCCTCCCAAGAGTGCTGGGATTACAGGTGGCAAGCCACTACACCTTGCCCACAGTCTTTTTTGTTTGTTTTGGACAGGGAGTCTCACTCTGTCACCCAGACTCGAGTGCAGTGGCACTATCCATAGCCACTCAACCTCCTGGGCTCAAGGGATCTTCCAGTTTCAGCCTCCTGAGGAGCTGGGACAACAGGCGGTGCACCACCACGCCTGGCTAATTGTTTTTCTTTCTTCTTTTTTTTTTTTTTTGTTTTTTTGAGATGGAGTTTTGCTCTTGTTGCCCAGGCTGGAGTGCAGTGGCGGCGATCTCAGCTCACCACAACCTCTGCCTCCCGTGTTAAAGCGATTCTCCTGCCTCGCCTCCCCAGTAGCTGGGATTACAGGTGCGTGCCACCCATGCCCAGGCTAATTTTTGTATTTTAGTAGAGACAGGGTTTCACCATGTGGGCCAGGGATGGTTCACAATCTCCTGACCTCGTGATCCGCCCACCTTGGCCTCTGAAAGTGCTGGGATTACAGGTGTGAGCCACCGCACCTGGCCCAATTTTTTAAAAAAAAATTTTGTAGAGATGACCGGTCCACCTATATTGCCCAGGCTGGTCTGGAGCTCTTGGGCTCAAGTGATCCTCCTGCCTCAGTCTTCCAAAGTGCTGAGATTACAGGCGTGAGCCACCACACCCAGTTCCTTGCCACCATCTTGGTGCCAATCAAAATAGTCCTGAATAAATCTGACTTACTGTTTTAACAAGAGTCAGATTTTTTTCTTTAATAAGCGCAGTAGAAGAGGTGAACTGAAGAGGAGGGACTGCAGTCATTGATGAAGACAAGGTCCAAGGCAAAACCACAGAGTAACAGGGTAAGGTGGAGGTTGAGATTTACAGAAACAGAGTTCAGTGACGGACAGGCCAGGGTATGCAAGGGAGTGCTTATAACTGACCCTGAAAACGTTTTTTTTTTTGAGACAGAGTCTCTTTCTGTCGCCCTGGCTGGAGTGCAGTGGTGCAATCTCAGCTCACTGCAACCTCTGCCTCCCAGGTTCAAGCGAACCTCCTGCCTCAGCCTCCTGAGTAGCTGGGACTGCAGGCGCACGCTTCAGTTCAGAAGTTCCAGAGAAGCCTGGGCAACATGGCAAAACCCGGTCTCTACAAAATATTTAAAAATTAGCCAGGCGTAGTGGTGTGTGTCTGTGTAGCTCCAGGCACTCAGGAGGCTGAGGCAGGATGCTTGAGCCGGAAAGGCTGAGGTTGCAGTAAGCCGAGATCGCGCCACTGCACTCCTGCCTGTGCAATAATCCCTGGATTCAAAAAAAAAAAAAAAAAAAAAAAAAGAAATGAAAAGAAATGTATCTGAAACTCTCCAAGCTTCAATTTGCTAATCTGAAAAATTGAAATAGCGGTACCAACCTCACAGAGTGGCTAATTTAATACAGTGCTATTTGCAAGGGATAATTTATCGAACCTTTAGGCGTTGTTCTAGAGTACCTATTAGGTCACTGAACTCACAACCTTAGGAGGGAGTTTCGAGTTTATGCCCATTTTACACGAGGACGCGTTGGCAGGCGATACTGCTGTTCATGGGATCTGTAAAGAGTGAAAAAGGAGTCTCAGCTCTCAGTAGAGTTCACAGGCTCTAGGGTTTCTGCTGGAGGTGAGAACACTGTGCAGGGAGGCACGAAAGCGGGCATCAGATGGTGCAAAGCGACGCTGGGCCCAGCTCGGCGGCCAATGGCTCCCTCCGGTGGCCGAAGCGAAGAGCGCAGCTGGATCGGGCGCGAAGAGAGGATCCCCGCAGCCTGTCAGGGGCAAGGCTGGAGCCCGGTGGAGGTTCTAGGGCTTTGAAAGGTTGGAGGACTAGGACTCCAGAAGTCCCCGAACGAAGCGGGCCGGAGTTCCAGGTGACGCACCTGGCTCAGGTGTCGCAGCCCCGCCCACCTCCCTGCCGCCTTCCGCCGTCCTCACACGCCCCCTTTAGGAGGGTGGCTGCTCCTGACGCCTCGGAGCTCCGACTGGGGTCCGGTCCCCGCGGCCACGATTGTTTGCACCTAAGTGATGGAGGCTCCGAGACCCGCGGCCCACGCCCTGCCGGGGACGCTTGTCTGCAGGGCTGCGTTGCAACCCCGGGCGCACGTGGAGCTGGAGCCGCGCAGGCTGGGGGAGCGCACAGAGGGTCGGGCTTCCCCGGGCGCGCCCACGGGGCGGGGCCGAGGACGGGGACCAATGGCGCGCGCGTGCTGGTGGGGGTGGGGACAGGCTCCGGGCCTGGCATCCCGGTAGCCGCAGCTGTCTTTTCCGGCCCCCGTGCGCTCTCCGCCCGAGGCGGAGCCCCCCGGCTCGCGGGGATCCCCCGAGCGCTGCGTCCTGCGGGTGGGTGAGTGAGTGCCCCGCGGTCCCCGAGATGTGGGGTGCATCTGGCCGGGGAGAAGGAGATCTTGGCTCCTTTGCACCCCAGCGGGCGCAAAGGGGCAGGAGCCCGGGTTGGGGGAGGAGGAGGAGGACCCGGGGACCTTGTGTCGCTCGGTGGGAGCCTGTCTGTGTTTCTGTTTTGCTAGTCGAGGGGTGTGTTTGGGTTGGTAGAGTTTGTAGGGGGGGTGCCTCGTGTGGATGGAGGAATCTGGGGAGGCTAAGGCGAGGGGGGGGATTGAGATGGGTTGAGGGAGAGGATTGACGGAGGGTGGGGTTTTGAAAGAGTTGGAAGTTTCTTGGGTGCGGTGATTGCATGGGGGGTCTCGGTAGGGGCAGCTCAGGACACCGAAGGAGAGGATGGCGAAGGCTCTCCTGCCCACAACTTACTTCCCTTTTGGGAGATTTGCTTCCTCTTGCATTGCTAGTTAAGGAAGGAGAGGCTGGAGAAGCCTGTGCCGTCAGAGAACCTTTGCCTCTTTGCAGAACCGGTGCCATCCCTAGTCTCAGGAACATAGGGGAAGGGGTGGCCCCCAGGAGCCGGGAGTGGCCCTGAAACCCTTGCTGACAGGTTTGGGGTACCACATTTTGTGGAGCAGTGGCTGGTACCATTTGCAGCCCCATGGGCTCTTTTTAGTTGCTGGTAAGCAGGGTGTGGGTGCGTTCCTGTTTCCTTGTGGTTGTGTCTTTTTTTGTTTTTTTCTTGAGACAGGGTCTCGCTCTGTCACCCAGGCTGGAGTGCAGTGGCGCGATCTCGGCTCGCTACAGCCCTAAGCCTCCAGGACTCAGGCGATTCTTGTGCCTCAGTCTCCCAAGTAGCTGTGATTACAGGCATGCACCTGCATGGCTAATTTTTTTTTGTTTGTTTGAGACAGTCTCACTCTGTCGCCCAGGCTGGAGTGCAGCCGCACGATGTTGGCTCACTGCAACCTCTGCCTCCTGGGTTCAAGCAATTCTCCTGCCTCAGCCTCCCAAGTAGCTGGGACTATAGGCATGAGCCACCACGCCTGGCTAATTTTTGTATTTTTAGTAGAGACGGGGTTTCACCATGTTGACCAGGGTGGTCTCGAACTCCTGACCTCAGGTGATCCGCCCACCTCGGCCTCCCAAAGTGCTGGGATTACAGGCATGAACCACTGAGCCCGGCCAATTTTTGTATTTTTAGTAGAGAGCAGCTCTCTCTTTTGGGGAGGCTTCGGGATATTTGATTAGTGGTCTTTGGGGGTGGGTGGGCTCTGTGGGGCTGCTTTTGATGCAACATAATCTCCTTTGCAGGTCACCTAACCCATTTGTGTCTTCCTCTACCTGTGCTCAGCCATGGCCAGTGAGAGCTCACCTCTGCTGGCCTACCGACTCCTGGGGGAGGAGGGGACTGCCCTCCCTCTCAATGGGGCCGGGGCTCCTGGAGGGGCATCTGCCCGGAAGCTGTCCACCTTCCTGGGTGTGGTGGTGCCCACTGTCCTGTCCATGTTCAGCATAGTTGTTTTTCTGAGGATTGGTGAGTCGGTTCTGGGGCGGGTGTGGACTGACTGTAGTATAGGAGGACATGATGGGGAGAGGTGGAGATGGGACTGGGATGAGAGTAGGAAGGGGGACCCAAGAGAAGTGGTTGGCTAAAGGGTTTGGGGAGGGGCTCCCTGTGGGCTTGCATTTAGCTCCACCCTGGAGCTCTGCAGACCCAGGGGGTGGGGGATATAGGGTGTGAGCCCCTGTGACCTGACTCGCTGCTCCTGCCTCAGGGTTCGTGGTGGGCCATGCTGGGCTGCTGCAGGCCCTGGCCATGCTGCTGGTTGCCTACTTCATCCTGGCGCTCACCGTCCTTTCTGTCTGTGCCATCGCCACCAATGGAGCCGTGCAGGGGGGCGGAGCCTACTGTATCCTCCCACATCAGTGGACTGGGGTCTGGGCTGTTCTGCCTGCTCGGGAGGGTGTGGAAGGGGCCATTACCTTTGTTGGCTCAGGGGAGAGACAAGTGTTTTTCTTCATTCTTAAAATTTTTTGCCGGGCGTAGTGGCTCATGCCTGTAATCCCAGCACTTTGGGAGGCCGAGGCGGGCGGATCACGAGGTCAGGAGATCGAGACCATCCTGGCTAACCATGGTGAAACCCTGTCTCTACTAAAAGTACAAAAAAAAAAAAAAATTAGCCAGGCGTGGTGGCGGACGCCTGTAGTCCCAGCTAGCGGGAGGCTGAGGTAGGAGAATGGTGTGAACCTGGGAGGTAGAGCTTGCAGTGAGCCAAGATCGTGCCATGCACTCCAGCCTGGAGAGCGTAACTCCGTCTCAAAAAAAAAAAAAAAAAAATTTTTTATGCTGGGTGCGGTGGCTCATGCCTGTAATCCCAGCACTTTGGGAGGCTGAGGTGGGCGGATCACTTGAGGCCAGGAGTTCAAGACCAGCCTGGCCAACATGGTGAAAACCCGTCTCCACTAAAAATACAAAAATTAGTTGGGCATGCTGGCACTTGCCTGTGATTCCAGCTACTCGGGAGGCTGAGGCACGAGAATCGCTTGAACCTGGGAGGTGGAGGTTGCAGTGAGCCAAGATCGCATCACTGCACTCCAACCTGGGCAGCAGAGCAAGACACTGACTCCCAGACTGCAGTGCAGTGGCGCCATCATAGCTCACTGCGGTCTTGACTTCCTGGGCTCAAGTGATCCTCCTGCCTCAGCCTCCTGAGTAGCTGGCACTATAGGCATGAACCACCACCCCTGTTTAATTTTTAAGTTTTTTGTAGAGATGGAATCTTGCTATGTTTCCCAGGCTGGTCTTGAATTCCTGGCCTCAGGTGATCCTCTTGTCTCAGCCTCCCAAAACGCTGGGATTACAGGCGTCAGTCACTATGCCTGGCCTGGCAGGGCAAGTTTTAATAAATGTGCAGCAGGCAGGCTCGTATAATGAAGGAGATCAACATTGCCCTACATGTTAATGCCAATTTCTAGTCTAACAATCTCATCTGTTAGGCAGTGATTGTTTTACAGATGCAGAAACTGGCACTCAGAGGGTATGAGTGACTTGTGCAAAGCCACATGGCTGGGGCCTGGCTGCACTCAGGTTAAGTGCTTGGAGCTATGGCAACTTCCTCACGTCCATTTCAGTCTCTTTTCCCTTAATGCTTCCACTTTCAGTCATGATCAGCCGCACACTGGGGCCCGAGGTCGGGGGCAGCATTGGGCTCATGTTCTACCTGGCTAACGTCTGTGGCTGTGCCGTCTCCCTGCTGGGACTGGTGGAGTCTGTGCTTGACGTCTTCGGGGCCGGTCTGTGCTCTGTCCGATCTGGGCAGTGCTGCGGGTTTGCAGGGTCTGGGAGTGTGGGATCATGAGGGAGAAGGTCCTCTACAGGAGAGGGGCAGACTGAGCCATTACCTTGGCTTTCTGGAGCTTCTGCTGTGTGGCCAGCATCGTGCAGGAGATGTGGACATCTCTGAGATTGTCCTTGCCTGCAGGGAGCTTGGATCTAATCGGAGAGACCAGGCTAAGATTCTTAAAATTGACAGAGACCACGAGGGAGAGCTAAGATGCTGGGATGGAGCTAAGAGGGAAGTGGGGAAGGTGGTCTCTCTGACAGCAGGTGGGTAGAGGGGGCTTGTCTTGCTTTGGGTCATGGTTGGGGCTGGGTACCTTCTTTTTTTTTATTTTTTATTTTTTTATTTTTGAGATGGAGTCTTGCTTTGTCACCCAGGCTGGAGTGCAGTGGTGCGATCTCCCCTCACTGCAACCTTTGCCTCCTGCATTCAAGCGATTCTCCTGCCTCAGCCTCCTGAGTAGTTGGGATTACAGGCACTCACCCCCACGCCTGGCTAAAGATTGTATTTTCAGTAGCGACGGAATTTCACCGTGTTGGCCAGGCTAGTCTCGAACTCCTGACCTCAAGTGATCTACGTGCCTCAGCCCTCCCAAAGTGTTAGGATTACAGGTGTGAGCCCTGGCGCCCTGCCCCCCTTTTTTTTTTCTTTTTTCTTGAGGCAAGGTCTTACTCTGTCACCCAGGCTAGAGTGCAGTGGTACCATCTTGGCTCAATGTAACTTCTGCCTCCCGGGCTCAAGCGATTCTCCCACCTCAGCCTCCCAGTAGCTGGGACTACAGGCATGCCTCCCCACGCCTGGCGAATTTTTGCAGTTTTTGTGGAGTTGGGGTTTCACAATGTTGCCAAGGCTAGTTTTAAACTCCTGGACTCAAGTGATCCTCCCACCTCAGCCTCCCGAAGTGCTGGAATTATAGGCGTGAGCCGCCCACCATGCCCGGCTGGTGGGGTGCCTTAGGATCGGGCCTTCTAACTCTGTCCCTACCTCTTTCCAGATGCCACAGGGCCCAGTGGGCTCCGGGTCCTGCCCCAGGGCTACGGCTGGAACCTGCTGTATGGCTCCCTGCTGCTGGGCCTTGTGGGTGGGGTCTGCACCCTGGGAGCTGGCCTCTACGCCAGGGCCTCATTCCTCACATTCCTGCTGGTCTCCGGCTCCCTGGCCTCTGTGCTTATCAGCTTTGTGGCTGTGGGGCCAAGGGACATCCCCTTGACCCCTCGGCCTGGCCCCAATGGCTCCTCCCTGCCACCCCGGTTTGGCCACTTCACCGGCTTCAACAGCAGTACCCTGAAGGACAACTTGGCTGGTGAGCTGGGCACTGCCGTGGCAGGAATCTCGGGGCGAGAGCTGGGCAAGCATAAGGGCTGGGCCCTTAAAAATCTCTGGATGAGCACAGGTGTCAGAGGGAATGGTGGGCAGGAGGTCTGGACTGCAGAGCAGTGCAGTTTAATTCAGGCCTGTCTAGCATGTGTTTGGCCAGCGGGGCAGGAGGAAGCCCAGAAAACAGTCCCTGCTTTAGAGGAACTTGTGTTCTAGCTGAGGAGAGACGTGCATTTAGGAATCAGTTAAATAGCACAGTAAGGCCCAGCATGACTTTAACAGATCAGGATCTCCCAGGAGTGGAGAGAGGGAGGCCTGACTATGGGCTGGGGAGGGCAGGAGCCAGGGAGCTGGAGGTAGCCTGAGATAGATGGGTGGGGGATTCAGTCAGGAGCCGGGAACAGACAGGGAAAGTATCTCAGGGAAGAGCTGGAGACTGGGTGTGGGGGCTCACATCTGTAATCCCAGCATTCTGGGAGGCTGAGGCAGGAAGACACCTGAGGTCAGGAGTTTGAGACCAGTCTGACCAACATGGGAGACCCTCTCCCCGTCTCTACTAAAAATACAAAAATTAGCTGGGCACGCTGGCTTGCACCTGTAGTCCAAATACTCCAGGAAGCTGAGGGAGAATTGCTTGAACCTGGGAGGTGGAGGTTGCAGTGAACAGAGATTGCGCCATTGCACTCCAGCCTGGGTGACAGAGGAGGTTCCATCCTCAAAAAAAAAAAAAAAAAAAAACCAAAAACCATAAAAAAAAATACAAAAATTAGCCAGGGCAGTGGTGCACTCCTGTAGTCCAGCTACTCAGGAGGCTAAGCATGAGAATCGCTTGAACCCGGGAGGCAGAGGCTTGCAGTGAGCTATGATCACACCCCTGCACTCCAGCCTTGGCTTCAGAATGAGATTCCGGTCTCAAAAAAAAAAAAAAAAAAAAAGGCTGTGTCGGCGGCTCACGCCTGTAATCCCAAACATTGAACGTTGAGCTGGGTGGATCACCTGAGGCCAGGAGTTCGAGATCAGCCTGGCCAACATGGTGAAACCCCATCTCTACTAAAGTTACAAAAATTAGCCAGGCGTGGTGGCGGGCACCTGTAACCTCAGCTACCTGAGAGGCTGAGGCAGGAGAATCGCTTGAACCAGGGAGGCAGAGGTTGCAGTGAGCCGAGATCACACCACTGCACTCTGGCCTGGGTAACAGAGCGAGACTCCGTCTCAAAATAAATAAATAAACAAATAAATAAATAAAAATTAAAAAGTTAGATGGGCATGGTGGTGCACACCTGTAGTCCTAGCTACTTGGAAGACTGAGGCAGGAGGATCGCTGTAGCTCAGGAGGGAGAGGTTGCAGTGAGCCACTGCACTCCAGCCTGGGTGACAGAGCGAGATCCTGTCTCTAAATAAATAAATAAATTTATAAATAAATAAATAAATAAAAGAGTATGGATTAGGGTCTGGAGGGAGGAATGTCAGAGCATTAGGGGGACGTGGCAATGTGTCTGGCTGACCCAGGGCCAGTGCAGGGGCAGGCTGGTGTCTTAGTGAGTACAGTGCAAGGGGACTGTGGGAATGTGCGGAGAGGGTGGCTAAGAGGCCTGGATCCCCGAGAGGGATGCTGATGCCCTCTCCTCCCTGGGACGATCCTCCTAGCTGGCTACGCTGAGGACTACACCACAGGAGCCATGATGAATTTTGCCAGCGTCTTTGCTGTCCTCTTTAACGGCTGTACAGGCATCATGGCTGGGGCCAACATGTCAGGTGAGAGTCCCTGCCTGCTGCCTCCTGGGGGTTTGGGGGCTGCCACCGTGAGGGACCCAGGGGGACGGTGGGAGGGCTGACCTCGCTCCCTCTGCTCCCCCTTCTCCAGGGGAGCTGAAGGACCCCAGCCGGGCGATCCCTCTGGGCACGATCGTCGCTGTCGCCTACACCTTCTTCGTCTATGTCCTGCTTTTCTTCCTCTCCAGCTTCACCTGTGACAGGTGTCTGGGGAGGGACGGGGGTGGAGTGTCGAACAAGATTGGTGCATCTGGGTCACCAAGGGAAGCACAGGCTGGGGGACTGGGGAGCAGAAACCCAGCTTGTTGGAGTGGAGGGAAAATAGGGGGAGGGTAGCTACCAGCGATTGACAACCTGTAGCCAGCAGCTGCCATGGACCCAGTGCTGTTGTAGGCACTTAGCTTGCAAGTGAGGGTGGCTAGTGACTTTCTACCCAGTTTGCATTTCCACAAATATTTGGCCTTTTGTGCATATACCGTTAGGTATGACAGCCGGGTGCGGTGGCTCACACCTGTAATCCCAGCACTTTGGGAGGCTCAGGCAGGAGGATTGCTGGAGCCCAGGGGTTCCAGACCAGCCTGAGCAACATAGCAAGACCCTCCCCACAAATACAAAAATTAGCCAGGCGTGATGGCAAATGCTTGTAGTCCTGGCTACTTGGGAGGCTGAGGTGGGAGGATTGCTTGAGTCCAAGAGGTCGAGGCTGCAGTGAGCTATGAGTATAGCACTGCACTTTAGCCTGGGGGTTGGAGTGAGACCTTGTCTCTTAAAAAAAAAGAGAAAGGAATGACCACTGAGTGATTAAATCCAAGGCCGCCCAATGAATACCAGGCATATCCTTTTAGCACATTTGATATCTGAGTCTGATCCTTAAGATCAGGGCTGGAGATTTTCCTACCCCATGACGCATGATCATCTGTGTCCAACTTTCCCTCCTTCCTAGGACCCTGCTGCAGGAAGACTATGGGTTCTTCCGTGCCATCAGCCTGTGGCCCCCACTGGTGTTGATTGGAATCTATGCCACCGCGCTCTCAGCATCCATGAGCTCGCTCATCGGCGCCTCCCGCATCCTCCATGCCCTGGCCCGGGATGACCTCTTTGGTGGGTTCTCTGCCTCCTTGCTGGCTCGGAGCATGCCCTCCCTTGTCTGTTTGTCCATCACCGTTAGGCCCCGGCTGATGTGTCTGCTATGGATTCTGTTTTTCTAGGAGTGATCTTGGCGCCGGCCAAGGTTGTGTCCCGGGGCGGAAACCCCTGGGCGGCTGTACTGTATTCTTGGGGCCTGGTGCAGGTGAGCCTTCTTCTTCAAGGGGCCCTTTCCCTCACCCCACCAGCTGGCAGGATGGGGGCGCAGTTAGATGCAGGCTGGAAGACAAATGCAAAGGCAGATGTGTATGCACTTGGCGGTGCACTGGCACTCTGCAGCGTTCACTGGCACTTTGTGGGGTTCACCAGCACTTTGCAGGTTGCCCCAGTGCTTTGCAGGGTTCATTGGCACCCTGGGGGGTTCACTGACACTTTTTGGGGTACATGGGCATTTTGCAGGGTTCACTGACACTTTGTGGGGTATATTAGTATTTTTCAGGGTTCACTGGCACTTTGTGGGGTGCCCCAGCACTTTGGGGGATTCACTGGCACTCTGTGGGATGTACCAACACTTTGTGGGGTTCACTGACACTTTGGAGGTTTGGTGGCACTCTGTGGGGGTGCACTGGCCCTTTCTGGGGTTCATTGACACTGGGGGGTACACCGGCACTTTGCAGGGCTCATGGGCACTTTTCAGGGTTCATCGACACTTTGGGGTGCACTGGCCCTTTCTGGGGTTAATTGACATTTTGGGGTATGCTGGTACTTTGCATGGTTCACTGGTACTTTCCAGGGGTTCACTGACACTTTGGGGGTACACTGGCACTTTCCGGGCTTCATTGACACGGGGGTCACTGGCACTTTTAGGGTTTAATAGCATTTTGGGGGTTGGGTTCATTGACACTTTGGGGGTGCACTGGCGCTTTGCAGGGTTCACTGGCACTTTCTGGGGCTCATTGACACTTTGGGGGTACACTGGCACTCTGGTGTTCACTGGCATTTTGGGGGTACACCGGCACTTTGGATCAATGGCACGCCTCTTGGCCTCTGCCCAGCTGGTGCTCCTGGCCGGGAAGCTGAACACGCTGGCTGCCGTGGTCACTGTCTTCTACCTGGTGGCCTATGCTGCTGTGGACCTGTCCTGCCTGAGCCTGGAGTGGGCCTCGGCCCCCAACTTCCGGTGAGAGACTCAGAGGCCTTTGTCCCCAGAGAGAAGGAAGGAAGGAATGGGAAAACAGGGAGGACTCAGGCTCAGGCGTGGGGTTGGGGACAGCAGCCTCGGGTGCGGCCAGCCCTGAGTTTCTGTCTCTCCTCCCCTCCATGCCCGCAGCCCCACCTTCAGCCTGTTCTCCTGGCACACCTGCCTGCTGGGGGTGGCCTCCTGCCTGCTCATGATGTTCCTCATCAGCCCTGGTGCGGCCGGTGGCTCCCTGCTCCTCATGGGTCTCCTGGCTGCCCTGCTCACCGCGCGAGGAGGTCCCAGCAGCTGGGGCTATGTCAGCCAGGCCTTGCTTTTCCACCAGGTATCCCCGCGGAGCTGGCGGGGTGGTGGGGAGACGGGAGGTGGTCAAATAACCCCCTCTCTCTTTGGCTGGAGTTGGTGTTCCCGTCCAGGAGGTGCTGAACAGGGCTGTGTATTTGATCCTGCCACTTCCCCATCACCTCACCCATGTACCCAGGTGCGTAAGTATCTGCTCCGGCTGGACGTCCGGAAGGATCACGTGAAGTTCTGGCGGCCCCAGCTGCTGCTCCTGGTGGGGAACCCCCGGGGCGCCCTGCCTCTGCTGCGGTTGGCCAACCAGCTTAAGAAGGGGGGGCTCTACGTGCTGGGCCACGTCACCCTGGGAGACCTTGGTGAGCTGCCCTCCCACTCATTCACTCACTCCCATCCTTCTTTCCCCCTACCTTTTTTTTTTTTTTGAGATGGAGCTTCGTTCTGTTGCCCAGGCTGGAGTGCAGTGGGATGATCTTGGCTCACTGCAACCTCCACCTCCCAGGTTCA